ACTTGCTACTCTGGGAGGTGGCCAGCTCCTCTCCCAGCCAAGGACTCCCCCTCCCTTCTACAGAGGGAGGCACTGAATACAGGGGTCAGGGCATGACCTCTGGAGTCAGGCTGCCCAGATTGGACGCCTAGCTCCACTCTACCACCCACAAGGCTTGGAGCAAGACTCTTAGCCTCACTGTGCCCAGCGACCTTATATCCAAAATGGGACTAACGGCAGCACCTATAGGATAGGTTTTGTGTAAAGATTAAATGAAACAACACAAATGGAAGACTCGGAACGCTGCCTGGCATAAAGAATATTAAACACTATATAAATGCTAGTTGTTGTTATTAAGACATGCCACCATGTGGACTATCAGACTAAGCAGACTAAATTAAGCTTGTAACCTAATCATTTTATGAACACAGAAGATTAGAGCTGGAAGAGCCCTTAGAACTTACAGGCGAGGCACCTGGGTGGCTCAGTTGGTTGAGCGTCCAACTCTTTAAAAAAAATTTTTTTTAATGTTTATTTATTCTTGAGAGAGACAGAGACAGAGTGTGAGCAGGGGTGGGACAGAGAGAGAGGGAGACACAGAATCCAATGCAGGCTCCAGGCTCTGAGCTGCCAGCACAGAACCCGACGCGGGGCTCGAACCCACGAACCATGAGATCATGGCCTGAGCCGAAGTCAGATGCTTAACTGACTGAGCCACCCAGGCACCCTGAGCATCTGACTCTTGATACTGGCCAGGCTGCGATCTCATGGTTCGTGCGATTGAGCCCTGTGTCGAGCTCTGGGTTAACAGCACAGAGCCTGCTTGGGATTCTCTTTCTTTCTCTCTCTCTCTCTCTCTCTCTCTCCCCCTCGCCCGCACTCTCTGTCTCACTCTCAAAATAAATAAACAATTAAATAAAAAAAAAGAACTTACAGATGAGAAAACTGCCACACAAGAAAAGGGAAATGATGAACCCAGAGTCCCACAGCTGGGAAATGTCAGACCACTAAAACTCAAGTCCCCTGCTTCTTTTTTTCTTCACCGTATCTCATTGAAATTTTATCAATATTTCTTTTTTTTTTTTTAAGTCATCTCTATACCCAGCATGGGGCTTGAACTCACAACCCTGAGATCAAGAGTCACATGCTCCACTCATGGAGCCCAGCCAGAGGCCCCGCAATTTTATCAATATTTCTAATGGGAAAAAAGTTTCTGTATTGTAAGTAACCCAAGTTACCAAAGAACTGCTGAGACAAAACTGATTAAGTTGGGGGTTGCCGGTATTGCCTAGAAGGCCAGCTGTTGTTTCAGGTGCGTGTGGGAGGCTGCAGGAGGCAGGGTGTTGGAGCAGGACCATGAACATCAGGAGACTAAGGAGACAGGTGACCCTAAATAAGTCCCTTGCCTTCTCTGGATTTCATTTCCCCACAGGATATGGGAATCCGATGTTCCCAACTGAACTACACTCCACGGTTGTCCGCTAACCTACAGAGCTCGGCTCAGTGCTAAACAAGGCAGACGCTTGAATAATTATTAACCGAAAACTTCCAACCTGCCTCCGGCCTCCACTTTAAATGCCACCTTTTCAAGTAAGGCCTTCCCACTTCACCCTGTTTATAATGGCAAACCCCTTCTCAGCTTCGTTTTTCTTCACTGTACTCAGCGCCGTCCCACACACCTGATATGTTACTTTTCCCTCCTCTCTGACTCTGCCAAGAGCCTAGAAGCTGTACAGGGCAGGGGCTGGCTCGGTCTACTTCGCTCACCGCTGCATCCGCAGCCCCGAGAACCCTGGCACGGAGCTGAGTGCATACGTTTTGTTGACTGAATCAATAAGGGGCATCAAGATTTCCTAATCAACGTTTCAACTTGGGTTTCAAAGCACAACACACTGATGGAAATGCAATCAGCAAATTGTGGGTGTTTGTGTCAATATGGTAATAAGACCTCTCCGATGTGGAGCTACTGTGGTCACCCAACGCGCCCAGAAGGCCGCTCAAGCCAGGAGCTGTCCGTGAAAAAGTCATCAGCCCCCAACTTTTCACAGTGTAACTCCGCCGGGCCGATTAACGAAAAGTTGCCACACGGGGTGAGGGCGACGTGCGACCCCTCTGTAGTATCTCTGCAACTCGTCTGTAAGCCGACAATCGTTTCCAAACGTAAAGTTAGTAAAGAAAACAAAAAGGCATCCACCCGGATGCTGCTCCCGGTTTCCCAACGGATTTCTTGAACGCCGGAGGAGGCGGGGGCCCTCGCGTCTTTTTTCTACGAGGACCGGGGTCTCCAGGAGTTCCCTTCAACTCCCACCGCCTCACTCACAAGGAGCCCCGGCGCGACCCCGACTCGCCCCGGCCTCGGTCGCCGTCCGCGCGGCTTCCTGGCCCCTCATCCCCTCCCGGACGACCTCGCGGGTCCTGACCCGCCGCCCTCCGACGCCGCGGGCATGTTTCCGTCCGGCGCCCGGGCGCCGGGCTCTTCCCGACGGCGCGAGGGAAGTACGGCGGCGAGTCGTCGTCCTGCCCCGCCGCCGCCGCCGCCACCGCCACCGCCTGCGACCCGGGAACGCCCCGTCGCTCCCGGGTCCCCAACCTCAAACCGGGAGCCGGAGGCTGCGGTCGCCGGGCGTCGTGAGGACCGCCCCCCCCCCCCCCCCCCCCCCCCCCCCACCGCCCGGCGCCCTCCCTCGCCGCAGCCCTCGACCCCTGTCTGCCGCGACCCCAGCCGCCCCCTCGGCCGCCGCCCCGGGCCCGCGGCCGCACTCACCGGTGGGCGCGGCGCCCCCGCCGCCGCCGCCGCCGGCGCAGAGCAGCAGCGCCCACAGCCCGCAGAGCCGCGCCGGCCGCTCCATGCAGCCCCTCTCCTCGGAGCCCGGCCGGGCTGCGGGCTCGGGCAGTCTCCGCCTCCTTCGCTCCCTCTCCCACTTCCCGGCTCCGCCGCCCTGGAGGCTGGGGGCCGGCGCAGACCGGAAAGGCCGCCCCGCCCACCCGCCGCAGGTAACCCGAGCCGCG